GAATTATCCCGGGATGTATATAAAGTCCAAATTCATATGTTCATAGATCAAGTTTATTTCAAGGACACACCTACAGTGTGTCTGTTCAAGGAAGAAAAAAAAAAAAAAAACATGCAAAGAAAATAACCTCTGGGGGAAAGAGAGGTAGTTGTCGGTGTATCTTTGTCTCATCTTAGTTCCTACAGCTAAAGATCCCAGGCGCTTGGAATCTTTGCAGGCATGCGGGGAGGGTGGGGGTGTCTTTAAAAAAAAATCTTTATTATTGAAAGTATTATAAATGTATTGGGCCTCTAGTATGCATATAAGCTCTTTGGTTAATCTCTGGGGGAGAGGGGGTGTCTTTTTAACATGAGATAGGCCCCATGTGGCCCACCAAGAATCAGCCCAGATGTTACCTTGGAGCCAAATCCTTGCTGAGTTCCCAATCACCAGTCATGGGTATCTGCCCTGGACCCTTGGAATCAAATACCTGGGGCTGGGCTTCCAAACTGTCATAGGTATTATCTCTCCTGTTTGATGTCTTCTTCTTTCTCACACAACCTTCCTCCTAGTAGTGGTCAGGTGGACCCTAGGTTTGGTCCATTTGGAAAGTTTATTGTGAGAAACAAATAACAAGTCTGTCCCATCACTAGCCAATATCATTTATATAAAAGTTAGTTCATCTACTTTAATTCCCTTTAACATGTCTTTGGGGACTGCCTGCTGGAAATGTAGCCTAGGAGGAGTCTTCAGAAAGAGGAGGCACGATTCCCATCCTTGGCGAGCTCCCCCTCTACATGGGAGATGAGGCACATATCACGGGAATTCATGATGAAGGCAAGGACATAAAAACAGTTCTCCTCACCAATTGGTTGGATCACACCATCTGGTAGTGGGACCAACCAAGCAGGGCATTTCTTACCAGGCTCTTCATTTTTACTTTCTGAGTTTTGTTGGGGGGTAGGGGGAAGATGTGATCCTTCTGCCTGAGAAAACCAAGGGCAACATCAAGTTCATTTGACTGACTATTACCCAGTACTTCTTACTGAAGATTCCTTCTACTCCTTTACCTGCGAACAACTCATCCCTTTGAATCCCTGCTACATTCTGGGGAGAAGTGTGTCTGTTGGTATGCACTAGCAAGGATCAGGAGGCCTGCCTTATCTTAGCAATATCTCATTCCGAAGGTCTCTCCTGCATTTGTTCTGCTATTATGCTGCTCTCTGTCCTCTGTCCAGTTAACTCACTCTCGAGCTTGTTTTTACTTGGACTCGTTTGGATTTTTCTAGTCTTCCTCAGCTGTGATAGCAAAAAAGAAAGACTGTTCAGAAATTTACCTAGCCTCAGGCAAACACCTAGAGACCAAATCAATGATGATTTTTTAAAAATAAACAGCTATGGCGCATTGGGGAGTATAAGCCATTGAGCCATCTCTATCACTTGTCTGCTTTATGTTCCAGCAAGTTGCTTATGCTATCTGGATCTTGTCCTCCCCATCCCCCAACTTCATGAAACCAAAATTATAATTGAGTACTATTAAACCAAGGGAATGTTCTTCAGTAACAATGAAATATAGTAGAAATAGAAACAGCTTTAGAACTGCCAAAGCCCTAGTTAAAATCTTATAGATGAAAGTTGTAGAGGAGCCGAAACCGGTTTGGCTCAGTGGTAGAGCATCAGCCTTCGAACTGAAAGGTCCCAGGTTTGATTCCGGTCAGGGGCATGTACGTTCATTGCGGGCACATCCCCGGTAGGGGTTGTGCAAGAAGCAGCTGGTCGATGTTTCTCTCTCATCAACGTTTTAGCTCTCTATCTCTCTCCCTTCCTCTCTGTAAAAAATCAATAAAATATATTTTTTTAAAAAGTTATAGAGGAGGCAAAAAAAGAAAAAGATTCTATCATAGAAAGTTTGCTTAGTATAATCTGATTCAAAATGTCTTACCTTGTCCTATCCTTTCCCACTGCAACACATTTTTGTATAATAGCCAATAATCATATCATTTACAATTTTTATTAACCTATATAGCTTATAAGGTATCACATTAATTACTGCATTAGGTTAGTTCTCCTGTTCTGATAAATACTGCAAACAGATGCTTCTGTGTTTGAGGGCAACACATCATTAGTGACTGGTGGAGTCATTGAATAAAGTGACACATTTATTCTCGTGTCCTACTCTCTAAATAGCTAATACTCTCCTGTTCCGCCAGCTTAATGATCAAATGCCCCAAAACATAATGTCTTGTCTGTGCCTTGAAAATGACTTGTCTGGTTTATAAAAAGAGCACTTGTACGAATAAATCAAAAATAGGATCACTAATGCGCAATTAGCATCCAGGGAGTGAGTTCTAAGATATACCAGGGAGTGAAAAAAGCAAAGTGCAAGAGAGTATCTAGAGTGTGCCCCACTTCAGGTGAGAAAGGAGAGGCGGGAAATGCACACGGATTTTCCCACTGGTACAAAGGAAACAAAAGAGGGTAAATCAGAAACTAGACTGGTTACCTGCAGAGGTAGAGAGGAAAGGGGGTAGAAAGGAGTGGGGAGGATAGAACAGGTTAGCTGGGATGAGGAGGGAATGACACTTCTGAGTATATTTTTTATACGGCTCTGACTTATTCCCAAAAATAAATAAATTAATTAAAATCAGTTAGCATGTGGGAGGAATCCAAAATGGAACAGAAGTAATGAAAAAATGGTGAGGGAGAAAGAACTAGCCCAAGTAGTTTAAAAATCAGTTCTTTTTACTGGAAAGCTTGAAGACATAAAGAACATTCAAGTCCTAGTATTCCAGTTAGTCGTTTTGTTTCTCACAGGGGCATAGATTAACAATTCTGAAACTAATTTATTGTAAAATTAAACAAATACAGTTGACCCTCGAACCACGTGGAGATTATGGATGCCAGCCACCCATACAGTTGAAAATCCACATATGATTCCCTCAAAACTTAGTTGTTCCTCAATATCCATGCTAGATTGGTTCCAAGATCCCAGGTAGGTACCAAAAATCATGGATGCTCAACATGCCATAGGTCAGGGAACACAGTCAGTCCTCCACATATGTAGTCTCCTAGCTGCAGATTGAAACAGTACAGGTTTTTATTGAAAAACTTGTGTGTAAGTGGACCCATCCAATTCAAACCTATGTTGTTCAAGGGTGAACTGTAAGTACAATATATAATATTATAGGCCATAAGGGTCAGGTTTCTCACTGTCACAGGAAGAAGTGATAAATTAAGGAAGATGGAAGGCTAGAGTGAACCCCAGGGTGTTAGACTGAAAGCAGAGACATCAACTATGAACTCATAATTTCAATTTACTCATGCAAATAGATACGGAGATAAACAATAGATGCTAAAATCCATTCTCCAATTAAAGGAGCCTGAGCTCTTTAGAGAAGTGACAGATTCCAGAGCTGGGTCTGGGAAGGTACAAGATGAGCTTGGAACATCTTATAGTACCAGAATGTAAGCAAGTGTCAAAAAAGAATAGGGACAGGTTGAAAATACATAGGCAAGCAATCTGAAGGAGTCCCTAATGGCCAAGGCTGGAACAAATTGAACAACAAAGTAAACAATTAGTGCATGAGGTTATAACCCATGAAATAAAATAAATATCCATGAGATATAAATAAATGGAGGGGAACGGGCAGCACTTTTTCCTACCAAAGAATTCCAATTATAACTACTGAGAAACGAGAGAAGCCGTCAAACACTGCAGTAAATATTGTTGCATGCAGGATCCACCAAAGTTTGAAGAGAAACTGGATATATGCATAGTCTCAAAGTAAATCTTTCACAAGAAAAGTATTAATTACAAAGGTATTGTACAAATAGTAATGTTGCAGTGAAGAGACTCATCAGCCACCATCTTACCCAAGTGGTCAATGTCAATATCACTAATAATGAGATACAGGGACAGCACGTACACCTGAAATGATGCAGTAAGAAGGGCCCAATATCACTTCTGTAGTAATTTTACAGAAAAATGCATAACCTCAATGTTGACATTTTGTGTTGGGTAATTGCTCGGTGTAGGGCTGACCTGAGCATCAGAGGGTGTTTACCACCATCCCTGGCTTCTACCCACTAGATGCCAGGAGTGTCACCATCCCAACCTTGTTACAATCAAAACGCCTCCAAACTTGCCAGATGTCCGCTGAGAAGCAAGATCTCCCCCGGTTCAGAACTGATGCCTCAGTCTAACCGTGAGAAAATATTGGGCAAACCCAAGTTGAGGGACTTTCTACAATAATAAGTAACCAAAAGTAAACATATGTATGTGTCTCTAGCCACTGTGTAATGGGTAAAGTCAATACAGAAAGCTGTGACTCTGGTATTTGAATCCAGACCTTTCAACCTAAAGCTCATGCAACTGCATATGTGACAGCATATGTGACACTGGGCTCCATTCACCTTTGTTTATTCATTGCTGAATTCTGAGCTTCTAGAATCGTGCTTGGCACATGGAAGACCTTTGATAAGTATTTGTTAAGTGAATGAGTTAGTGCTAATTGTTATAGTCCTGAGTTTTGATTCAGTGCAGTTGTTTCTGTACAGGCCTGCCTCTGAGCGCTGGCTGCCTGCATCCCTATAGGGCTCACAGCAGAGGGCTGACTTCTAATGATTACTCGTTAAAGTTCTGTTGCATTATAGTTTGTAGCTATTCTTTCTCTTACTACCTTTTTTTTTTTTAATATCTTTTATTGATTTTTTTTACAGAGAGGAAGGGAGAGTGATAGAGAGCCAGAAACGTCAATGAGAGAGAAACATCAACCAGCTGCCTCCTGCACACCCCCTACTGGGGATGTGCCCGCAGCCAACGTACATGCCCTTGACCGGAATCGAACCTGGGACCTTTCAGTCCGCAGACCGACGCTCTACCACTGAGCCAAACCGGTTTCGGCAACTTTTTTGTTTTTCAAATATACTGGTAGCTGGTAGTGAAGGGTGCTGAGGATTTCTGATGGGTTTGTCTTGTCTGTCTGATTAATCTTCGGGGTGGGTATTTGGGTGTTTTACAGCTTTTGGATCTCTTCATCCAGTGGGATTGGTCAACCTACCTTGCCGACTATGGTCAGCCCAACTGCAAGTACCTCCGTGTAAACCCAGTGACAGCTCTGACCCTGCTCGAGAAGTGAGTACCCAGGCCAGTGGTCTGTGTGGGGAAGTGGGGAGAGAGGCATGGGGGTGGGGGTGTTCAGTTCCTGAACAAGACAGCAGAGAGGCCGTGTCCCTGAAGGTGTCATAGGTGCTGTCAGTAGTCTCGATCATTAGATTTGACAGGCCAGTCTTCTTGTAGCCTCTTAATTCATGAAACCCACAAACGAGGCCAAGTACAGTCAGTTGGACTCTGACTACTTGGAGTTTCATGGGGTGACATATCTTTAACTAGAGATGACAAGAGAAGAAAGGAAGATGCCTTAGTTTGGGACTCATGCCAGCCTGGTAAACAGAGTGTGATGATGGATAGAACAGCCCCACGAAACAGTGGTCTCTCCAACTCCAGCAAAGAAACTCGTAGGCCTACTGAAACCTTCACGAGAACCGACTCACTCCCCACTGCTCCCTAACAAATTGAGCTTTATTGTGCTGACTGTACCAAGGAAGCTACATGGGAAAAGGTATCTAATTCTTGCCTGACGTAGTCACTAGTTGACAAAGGTTGCTACCCCTGAGATTGAGTTAGCCAGTTCTAGAACATTGCATGGCTAGCCTTCGTATCACCCACGTGCTGGGATCCCCTATGCATTGCAGCCTGGCTCTGACATTTGTTAACCTCGTTGAGAGCTGGCAGGCCAGAGAGGAAGACCCATGTAGAAAGGAAGCTTTCTCTTGTCTTCAAGCTAGTGAACCCAGCTTTTTAGAAGCCTCTTAGAAGAGTATCCTGCATTTAGGCAGTGTGGCAGGTCTATGTATTATATATGGCCAGTCAAGCAAGTCTCAAATCCTGGGAAGGCAAGGACCAGAGTCTCGGAGGTCAGAATGGAGCCTTAAGCAAGAGTGACTAGGTGTCTCCCTCCCACTATGCAGTGCGATTGGAATGTCGAAGGGGAGGAGCTGGGGGATGGGCAAGAGCAGGATGCAGAGGTATGTGTTTGGAGCCAAGAAACTAGAAGCCCAGAGTGCCGCTTTGTCCAGACCAAGACAGAGACTGATACTCCCTTTTAACCTTTTTCCCATGGTTCTCTCCTTCAATGACCTTCCTCCCTAGGATATCTAGAGAGTAAGTATATTATTCACTTGGGCCTTTTGCATCACTTTGAGGCAAGTCCTTCTGGTTTCCTCATTGACGCTAATGATTACACTAAAATCCCTGCCCTGTGAGCTGTCCCCACCCTGACATACTAACCTACTAAACCAGCCTGGTGCCAACTGGCTGGCTGCCTCCTCTACCCTTGATCCTTAGAATTACCCTTGGCTTACCAATTCCTTTAGGGCTGGAAGTGGAGGCAGGAATGTTCCCCATCAGTGCCAGGTAAAGGGCTCTTCCCACTCAGCTTCCTAACAGATGCAATATTCCTGCTGGTGCAGGGCCTGAAATTCAGCCCCGCCAGAGGGAACTCCTCCGCAGCCTCCCTGCCTCCTGCTGATGAGGCCCGTGGCTTTAAGACCTGGAACCACCTCTCCCACAGAAGACTCATTATTAGAGGCAAGACCTAATCCCAGAAATCTCAGTGCCCAGCTAGGATGGGGGATGTTTTGGTGCTTAGATGTCATATTTGTTATATGTCCACCCTTGACCTGGGACTCCCTTCCAGCCAATGACCCAGAAGCACTGGCCCCTCCACTTCCGGTGGACCAGCCATAGGGTGAAATAACCTGCCTCTCTGAAGCATCCTGATGGCCCAGCCAGTCACACAGCCATGTGCTTCGCCCACGCCATCAGCGGGGTTTAAAAACTTCCTTCCAAGCATAGTTGAGCCAAAGGCCACCCTAAAACCTGTATTTCCCAGCCTCATAGGAATCATCCCTTTTCCTGGCCTGTTCCTGCCTTCCCCACCACCAGCTCTCCCAGAGCTTGACTCTCGCCCTCATCCTGGCCCTTCTTAATGGGGGTGGAGGGGCCTGGCAGGACCCAGAGACCTGGGAGGGCATGCAGGAAGGAGAAGATGCTCCTGGGTCACCAAGCGGTGGCTATAGAAAGCGGGTCAGAATCTGGTCTTGCGGAAGGGCAGGGAGAGGGTTCTGTCTGGTATCTGAGCATTCTACAGACAAACCAGCAGCTGCCGCGAGCCCTAGGGGCCCCTGAGTTTATCTGTCCAGTCATCCCAGGCCTAATGATCAAGGAAACTAGCCTCTGAGTCTCAGAGACTCCCCTTTACTCTCCTACCCATTGGGGAGCTTCCCGTGGGAGGTGACAGCCAGCTCCAGCTGCTGGTCTCTGGGCGGTGTGAGGAGTCCTAAAGCGAATGATGACATAGGAGGTAGATGAAATGTTCTGTAAACCAGGAAGTGGTTTTCTTCCTTTCCTCTTTCTCTTGGTTTTGTGTTGTCTTGTTTAGATTTATAGCATAGTTAACAAATGAAAAGGATTCCTTCTCTGGGACAGAGAATCTCAAACCAGGCCAGGTCCACAGACAGAACAAGCATTCATTATGTGGGAAGGACCAAGGACAGTGGTCCTCGTGGCCTTGAGGACTCTTGTGCTTTCTTTTCAACCTAAACCTCTGAACTTGTTACCTCTCCTTCCCCCTCCACACACAGGCCTCCTTAGGCAGGTGCTGTGCCATTCGTGCAATGTTCTCAGCGTGCTGCTGTGTGATTCCAGCCTGGAGGCCCCCAGGCTTAGATCAGAGAGCGGAGTCTCACTGACAGTCAGAGCCGTGGTGCTCATCAGAACCTCTTACACTCAGATATGTGTCCCGTGGCATCTCTGATCTGCCCCTCAGCACAGGGCACCCTCATAGAGAACAGCGGGCAGCATTGGCCACAGGAGTGTGCCTGGGAGGGCTTACTCCCCCTGCTGGGTTTCTTCCCTCCCCTCCCCCTTCTCTGTCCTGTCCCCTTGCAGCGCAGGGAGCTGCGAGGTCAGGGAGCAGATGACGGAGAAGCCCAGCCTTCCCTCCCCCAGGGAGAAAGTGGTCTGGGCAGTGTTCGCAAGTCTCTGGATTAGAACTCGCTGAGGGCTAGAAGTCTGGTGTGCAGAGAGGCTGGGGCCAAAGTTAACAGTTACCAATAGATGCCAGGGGGTATGCATGGGCCCTCTGCAGGGAATAGCAGATTCCTGGCCTCTGTTGCAATAGTGTAGTCAGACTTGGAGGATGCTGTGGCTGCCTCAGCCTGCCCTTGACTTTCTATATCCATGCTTCCCAATTGTCTCTCCGCTGATCAGAGCTGTCCATGGTCTGTGCTTGAGGAATGTGCTAGGAGTGTGCTCTGGACCGTTGGTAGAAAGCTCTCCATAGGTCAGAGGCCTGAGGACCTAAACAGTCATTGAGAACTCGGGCTTCTCTTGCCAAAAGCCCTGGTTTATCGAGTGCGAGAACAGGGCTCATCTGTTTCCTTAGCACCAGGCTCTCTGCCACCTCCCGCCTCTGGGTCCTCACTCTGAGGCAGAGGAAAAGAGATAATAGGTCCAGCCCTCAATCTTGTTAGGCCTGGAGTAGAGCAGCCAGCTGTAGTGAGGGTTAGAGTTACACGGTGTTATCCTCCTTTCTCCTGGAACTGCTGGCTGAGAGCATGCTTCTGCTTTCTTTACCTTTCAAATGCCAGCTCTGAGGTCCCGGCAAGCGTGAGACGGCTTCAGCGGTGATAAGCAGGTCCTAGATATTCCGTGAGAGCTCTTGGCCTCATTGCTGTGGCGTGTCCCAGGTTCCTCCCCACACAGGTGTATGCCTGGGGGTGGAAGGGGATGGAGCAGGAAGGGTGAGGAGGGGCCATGGGAGTTAGCCCTCCACAGGTGACTCCTGACTGACTCTGGAGGAGGGTGAATTGGAGAAACAGCCTCCTGAGTAACAGACAAGGATAAGCCTGGCCAAGGGGATGCTCTGGACTAAAGGCTGGGTGGCAGTTAGGGATCGCTGCTCCATCCTACCTTGCCAGCTCCCCTTCCACCATGGTCCCCTCCAACACTAGCTCTCTTTCTCTCCTTCTCTGTTCAGGATGAAGGACACGAGCCGCAAGAACAACATGTTTGCACAGTTCCGTAAAAACGAGCGAGACAAGCAGAAGTTGATTGACACCGTGGCCAAGCAGCTCCGCGGGCTCATCAGCAGCCACCACTCGTGAGGCGGCCTCGCGCTGTGGCCCCGCAGTCCGGGCCGGGGCCTGGCTGGCCCTGCACTTGTGCATTCTTCTTCAGAGAGAAATGTATTTTTTTAATAACCTATGTACAGTATTCGCATAACCTTTCCCTATAGCAACGGAGGCACAAGAGGAAGCCAGCCTGTGAGAGGTTGTGGGGCTGGGACGTGGGGAGTCTGTGCTGCACGCTCTGTGTCATCACAGAGATGTGGTGCCATCAGTCCCGGACAATGAACACCTCTCGTCGTGGCTCTGGCGCTCAGGTCTGGGCCTCAGCTCACTACACAGACACAGTGGGTACTTGGCAGTGGAGGTGCGGTGAGCAGGCAAAAGGATGATTCAGTACATCCTGTTCGCCCCGGGTACCCCGTTCACCCCAGGTGGGGCCGATGCAAGGCAAGGGCCTGTTGCTGTTTAGTGTGGGGAAGGCCACAGGGTCCTGGGGCGCCTCTCCTTCGTCCGCTGACTCTTACTTGCCAGTGACAAGCATGGCAGGTGGCAAGGTGACAGCTTCCCTCCGGTCCCCCACGAGAGCAGATCCTTTAGCCTGGCCCTGGCCCAATGCTTCTGCTGCTAGTTCTTCTGTGATAGGATAGAGCAGGGGTCGTCCCTGGACCCCATGGCTCACTGTAGGGGCCCCAGGCCCTTCCCCATTCATCTCATGTCCTTCTTTCAGGGCGCAGGTCACCAGTTACCCTCCCAGAGTCCCAGACTTGCCTCCCGCAGTGCCATCCGGGGAGGCCAGATTCCAGAAGTCTGAAAATGGCCCTTACTTGGCCCTTAGATAAAACCTGAAGATGACTTGAGATGGTTCCTTTGTGTTTTAAAATCAGCCCGCTGGCCGCCATCTTTAAAAGAAATGTCACCAGCTCTGCCCCGTGGGGGCAGCCACTAACGATGGAGCCACTGTCACCACGAAGGAGTGTCTCCTGGCTAGTGGTTTGCTGCCTCTGGCCCCGCCACTCCTCCCTCAGTCATATCCTGGGTACAAAGCTCTTGCTGTCCCCCAAGGCTCCCGTCCCCTTCCGAGATCCCCACAGCCATCTGTTGGCCTTGTCTGAGAAACACTGTCTATGGCCCTACCCCCCAAACTCGGGAGTGAGCTCAGAGAGCCGCCCCCACCGGCTCGGAGACTGTCCGCTGTCCCCGAGGCTTATGCAGGGGCTGTGCTGTGAGGCCACTCAGAGGCACCTGCACTTTCAGACACTTCAGGAAGTTGCCACTGGGGCTCCTGGCAAGCGTCTAATTGTGCATCACAAACAATTACAAGTGAGCCACACAGGTATTTCCAGCCCTGGTTAAGGGAGGAGACACTCCCCTATTCCATCAAACCGGATCCTCACCTCCTCTGTCAGCCGCTGAGCTGCTTCTGAGAGGGCAGTGCTTCCTTTGTCATTCCCCACCCCCAACCCCTCCCTCCCTCATCACAACTGGAGAAGCACACAGGGAAGAGAATATGCAGGGACATGCAGCCTCCTCCACCGGAGGGACGGGCTGCTCTGTGCTGGCTCTGCAGGTGCCTCCGGAGGCGGCTCCTGGGCTGGGCGGGTGGGCCAGGGTCTCTGGATGAGGGCTGAGGAGGAGCGCTGCCCCTAGAACTTGAAGAACCTCAAAGGCCCAGGAAAGGCAGGGGCCCGACGGAATGACACCCAAGATGCGAACCCCCAAGCCGTGGATTTCATTGTAAAGGCCGGGAACGGCGACACTCATCTGAGTCCTGTTGCTTAAAAGGGGCCCAAACGCCCTCCTTCCCTATCCTCAGCTTTCAGCACGGTCCCTGAGCTTGGAGCACCGAGACTGAGGTGGGAATGGGGCGGACCTTAAGTGCACCATGTTTGACTTTTTGTCAGCATCGCTGGTCTGGTGTCAGGCCTGCCCCTGGAAGGACTGTGCTGGAGAGGGCTGTCCTGCCCTTTGCTCACAGCCGTTCTTCCAAGGAAAAAGTCTGTCCAAGCTCAAGGAGACCCAGCGGGAGCTCTCCTCTCTCCCGGTCCGCCGCAGGCTGGCGGTCTGTAGACACACTGCTCCTGGGCACAGGAAGGTGAAATCGGGGGCCAGCGATGCCCACGTTGTCTGTGTTGGTGAAGCAGGATTTTCTACTTCTGTCTGGAGGCCTCTCACTGGGCCAGCCCGTGGGGGGAGGACCGGTGCCCAAGCCCCTCAGACTCCTGAGCTCTGGCCTCGGGTGCCCGGAGGTGCACAAGCACCTGGAGCCTCAACAAGGGGCGCGAACATGGGTGGCAGGAGCCCTACCCGCCTCCTAGTTGGCACAAACCTTTGGCCAAGTTCTCGGGGGAGCCAGGTTCATGTTTCTGAAAGGACCGTCTGGTTTGGGACCCTGCACGTTTCAGTAGTAACGGGGACCTTGCATAGTTTTAACATTCGGAGGAAAGTCTCTTTGAGTCGATTGTGGGGAAAGCAGGACCTGGAAGCTGGAACCGGCAGGATCCTGTTGGCAAAGGGAATGCAAGCTTCCGAGAGGCTCCTGGCCTCAGCCCGCCTCGCTGCCCTGCACACCTGGCTCGTGCTTGCTCAGCAAGTCCAGACCCAGGGCCCGCTGTCCCTGAGATTGGCATCGGCCGTGACCTTCCTCTATGGCCCCTGAGCACACGCCTGGGCCCGCTGCAGACCCCATCGGCCCCCTCCTCCCAGGCTCTGCTCCTGGCCGCTTAGCTGCCTCTTTTCCTTTTTTCTTTCCTTTTTTTTTTTTTTTTTTCCCCCTAAATTCACAATTCCTTTTCACTCATATGTTGGAAATGGCCTTTTTATTTTGCACAAATAGTTGCACATTTACTGCGGAAATTTAGGAGAGTCCATTTTTTAACTCTAAAGGGAACTTTTTAAAAATTCACTAGGAAAGCTACTGATGCAGATGGGCCTCCCGGTCACTGGAGAACCTCCTGTGTGTAAAAGAGCATGTCATTCCTCCTGTCCATTCTCCTCTTTTACCCGCTATTAAAGGAGAAAGCCTTGTGCCTGTTTCAGACGCCACATGCTTGTCTCCTGGTGTTTGTTCCCCGCCGTCTTTGCACAGGTGCCCTCGGTTGGAGGCAGACGTTGCACCAGGGACTAGAGCAGACCAGGGAGCCCTGGGACACCGTGCTGCTGGTCAGGGTTTCCTGTCTGCACGTTCACACTGGCGGCGGCATCAGGAGGAACGGCCTTTGAAAGGCCTGATGTATGGGGAGCACCGGGCGAGGCAGTGTGGGTCCGAAGTGTTTTGGATACCAGGCCCCGTCATGGGAAGGTTCCCGATCAAAGCAGTGATGGTGAACAAAGCCTGGTTGGGAGGGGGACGGGGGGGGGGGGGAGGGGGATGGAGGGAGGCCTGCTGTAGAGACAGTCTGGTCAGGGAAGAAGCTCAGAGGAAGCAGATGCTAGTTAGCTGGGCCTTGAAGGAATGGAATTCAAACATTAGCTAAGCCACGGGAGCATTTGAGGCGCAGACACATTAGAGTGAAAAGTCGGCGCGAGCCAGGTCTGTGCTCAGAGGTCGGCGAGGAACCTGGTGGGCACACCTGATGCCGCGGTGAGTGCGGATGGAAGGGGCACAGCAGCGCCCAGCCTGCCTGAGCCCTCGGCTGGCGTGAAGCCGTGGGAATAGGAGGGAAGAGTCTGTGTATTACAACCGGGCTTTGATGCCTGAGACGAGCTTCAGTCCCGCTCACCACTCAGGGCTGGATGGCCTTCAGCACCTCCCAACCCACTAATCCTTGTCGGTGAGAGCAGAACGGTAGTCCCTAATGTCAGGGCCGTTGTGAATGTGAATGAGCTTGGATGGCCAAAGCACCTAGACATACTAGCCCCTGTATTTCAGGCCTTTCCCTCGCTCCCTCCAATTCTGTAACTTACCCTATGGCTGAGCATCGGACAGAAGTGTCCAGAGCTCTGCCTTCCGGCTCTTTTCCCCCCCATCCCCTCCCCCCACCAAGCACAGGGCTAATAGGAGTGAAGCCCCTCGAGCGCCTGTAGGTGAAACGGTACAAGCCCTTCACATGAGCCGCCAGCTGCCTGGCTCAGATTCCAGCCCCACCTTCCAGAGGGATCTGCTTCTCAACGCCACCTGGAAGCTCCTTTGCTCCCGTGTTGGTGCCAAAACTTATACCTCCTAGAAACCGAGAGTTCTTAGCCAACATGAACCCTTAGCGTGTGTGTGTGTGTGTGTGTGTGTGTGTGTGTGTGTGTGTGTGTGTGTATACACACAGGTTTACATCCATCCATTTTTCTGGCTAGAAGGTGCATCAATGTCTAAGATTCAAGTTAAAATACTAAGTGTTAACCAAATCTCTGGAAATGTGTGTCTCCAGTGAGGGGCCGCCAGGGCTCTGAGCAGCTGCCTCCTCCCTCTGTCTCTGGTGACTGATGCAGGAGCATCTTCAGGACCTGGAGCTCCGGCACCTGCCTCCTCCAGGAGCCCCCATGCGAACCCCAGGTCCTACCAGAAGGCAGTGCAGCCAACATTCCCAGCTTTCTCTCCCAAGAGAGAGGTACTGAGGGGGGCGGGGGGCATGAGGCCCTGCACTTCTGAGCATACGGACACTCCCAGCTGGTGGGGGAGACTGCATACAAGAGGGTCCAGCACAGGGGCTTGGGGTTGTCAAAGCCACAGCGAACCCGACTGGCGCCAAAGCTTCTGAGCACTGCCTGGCGCAAAGTCCTGCCAAGGCCTTGTCCACAGAGGGCCCTACCGCCTGGGGGTGCTCTGCAGGGTAGGGGGGGGTGGGGGGGACCCAACCAGGGACTGACGGATGTGCCGGATGTGCCGCAGCCACCACTCACCCCTTTCTCATGGCCAGGCTTATCTGCTCACCAGGCAGATGGGTGGGGAATGGAGACAGATAAGAGGAGGCAGGAGACAAAGTGCCAGACCCTTTCCCCAAAGGCCCCAGTTTTGAGTTTAATGGGGCGGTGTTTGCCGGAATGAGAGAGGCTCGGAGACCCCAGGGACCGGTGGACAAAGCCTGGAGGAAGTGGAAGCAGGAGGAGGAGGGAAGTGCGCCTGGGCATTGTGTGGGAGAGCTCCCCCTCTATCTGTTTCAATCGCCGGTGAGGTTAGGGTTACCCTGCTCTGGGGGCCCAGCTGCTCGGTGGGGTCGGTGGTGGCGTCAGCCGTTGTGATGGTAATGGGGGCCTCCCCCAGGGGCACCTTCAATGCCCAGCCCCACATGGACCCCACAGTGGACCACAGCGCTGTCCCCTTGGGCGGGGCAGGAGGTGGCCCAGAATGGACGCAGGTCAGCAGCCCCCTCCAGTCTGAACCCCTGCTCAGGGCACCTCCCAAACCCACGCTCTGACCCTCCTCTCTCCGAAGCTCCGAAAGGGAATGGAATCTGCACATTGAGACGCCTTTCTGGCCCTAAACAATCCTTCCATTCTCTAGGCTCAATGATGGGTCTATTTCCTCCCGTAAATAGGTCTTGTAATCTTCAACTCTTACCTCTGCCTCTAAGGTAATTAATTGGGTCTCCCTCTTGTTCTCCTCACACACTCCGCTCTCGGTTACAGGCTCAGGTTCGGCGGGATGGATGGCTTTTCTTTCTATTCCATGAAGTGCTTATTTTCTAAAGCGGATGGAGTAAGGCCCTCCCCGGAGAACCCCTTCTCCAGAGAAGCCTGCTGGGGAAACCCTACTTCCCAGGGCCCAGCAAGGGGCCCCTGGCTGCCCAGTGAGAGGCCTCCAGCGCCCATCTGAGCAGCCACGTCCCAGGTTGTAAGGAAGGTTCCAGGAACGGAATGCTCAGTGACACCCTCAGGAGCCACGTGGAGAGTAACGTGGGGATCTGGACGCTGGAGACAGAGGGAGGCACAGATGGACATCGGAGGAAGGTCAAAGGTTCAAAGGTCCCGCCACCACAACCCCAGGGGGAGGAGGAACAGCAGGGCCTCGGGTGCAAGGCAGCAGGAGGGCCTCTTGGTAGGAGGGTGGAGATGAAGACAGGGCGGCTGGTGAGGAGGGATTTTCGGGGCGGGTCTGCATCCGGCAGCTGCACCCAGAGAGACTGGTGATTTCTGGATCTGTGCGCACACTTGCCGGACGCTTCCTCTGGGTATCTTACCAAGAGCTTCAGAGGCAGACTGACATCAGACGCCCGGCTCCCCTGCAGCCCCCTGCCCTGCAAGCGGTGCCCCGGACTTAGACCAGCTGAGTCACACTTGCAGGGGGCCAGTCCCTGTGAGAGCAGCCCTCCCTGCCCGGGCAGCATTTTGTCACTGACATGTTTAGAAAGCATATGGCTATCATATAAAACAAACCAACTCTAAGTCTGTGTATTGCCGTGTTGAAGTTCTCTGCACACGTGGAC